ATCTGATCCATTTTTAAAAGACTCACAAAACAAATCAGAAATATACATTTGTCATATTTACCAGCAACTAAAAAGTTCCCTCCACCACTGAACACAAACGACTAAACTACATTTAAGTAGCAACACTGCAGCTTTTAAAACATCCAAACAGGACTACAACTAAATACAGACATTGGAGCCTTTTTAAAAAGATAGTTTAATGAAACCATTAACTTCTGAATTATTGAGCCCCAGTATAGCCTGTATGTCAGCATGAAGTTTAGTGCGACACAATATAATAATCTTATTTTCCTTCTTAAATTATGTTTATTTCACAAAGAGCTGAAATGGTACTATGGTTGCCAAAACTAGCTAATATAAAACTCATCTGTTCTCCTTAACACACCCTTACAGCGTTTTTCAACCCGAATGTTTGTTGTCTTGGGCACTAAAGTGTAATTTCACAAAATCACAGCTTACTATGGAGTAAACGGCTCACTCTTTCCCTCTTCGTTCGCTCCAATTTTGACCTTTCAACTCCATGCTTAAGCTAGCAACAGCTGTGTGAGACTGTGTTTGAGGGGAGGAGCAGAGCAGAGAGAATACACTGTTCTCTGTGAGGGGAGGGGCGGCATGGCGCAGGTCAGCTCTTAGGAAGTGAGGAGCAGATTCAAGACCAATTTATGCTTCTGACGCACAGCCTCTGCAACTGTCAAATCTGTCTCTATGCACGACAACGCCCCCTGCACAGAGGTTCTGCAACCGTCGTTGCGCACCTCAAAAAAATCCTGACTACGCGTCGGACAGTCAGAAACCTGCATAGACAAAAGCAGCTGTGATTGGTCCATGGTATGCCCTTCCGGTTGTCTGTGTTGTCGTCCTTCTTGATTCGGTGCTGGGGCGCGCCATTTTTAAAAACCGAGGACCAACTACAATGGACAACTACAACGAAAGGTCAATCGAGGAGGTTCGGAAGTACAACCACTTGTACGATGCCTCAGACAAATTATATAAAGATACCATGGTCTCTGCCAAAACTAAGTTCTTGCTACCATGCGCCGCTGTTCTTGCGAGTTCTCAAATAGGCTTTGGCAGGAAACTGCTGTGCGTCCCTAGAAATTCCAGACCAACGGTGCAGAAGCATACCAGCAAAACTGGTTAGTGACCAGACCCAAGCGACATTTGATGTGTGCGGTTGCAGAAGTCTAATCTGCCCCTCAGCGCCCAACCAAAGTTTCTTTCAGCTGTTTGCTGCAAAAATAAATGATATGATGATATATTTATGTCTGCCAGATTAATACAGACGCCAACACACCGCGCAGGTCGTGTCTGATCTAACAAGCCAAAGCAACTCTGTTTACATTCAATAAACATGGCGCAGTACAGGTGAGAGGGATTCTGACAGATACTGGAGCCAAACAATCACATTTACATTCATATTTAATAGATTTTTAGAAGTGTTTGTTTTCTCAAGCTATAGTTTGGGTCACTGCATTCTATATTGACATTGACATTTGTTCTGGCCGACAATCAATTTATATGATATTGGTGCTCAATTAATGAGGTTTGAACTGGTTTGAAATGTGACTTATGCCACTTTTTAGGACTGGTATGCCAATAAGCAGTCATTGAATGTCATATTTTAGTTTTGACAAGATTTCTTTAGATATATAAAAAAAAACGTATTTATATATATGTGTGTGTGAGGTAGTTTTAACGTAGCTAATTTAGGTGTGTTGTAGAAAACAGTAAGCATTCATTTAACCAAATCTATTAGTTAATTCTTCTTTCATGGTGTGACTGGGTGTTCTGCCAACCTTGTTAGCATTTTCTTAGCCACAGCAACCAGAGCTCTGCTTCTAATGTTGCAAACAGGTGATTACCAAGACTGACTGAAAATGAGAGTGTGACCTAATAAAAGCAAAACTGTTATTTTCATACATGTAAATGTAGAGGGAGGCTGAATGTTAAAGCCATTGCTTTAAAGCAGCAGATGTAAATCTGCTGCTTTGTTTAGCCATGTGTCATTTTAGTTTTTAATGTAGTTCAAAGTTCTTCTTTTAAAAACAAAAAAAGCCTAACAAATCTAAATGTGGAGGTGATTTTAATCATTTTTACCCATGACAACACACATATTAACATACACTTAGCATGCCAGTAGCATATGTCACTTCTAAAACTGCCAGATGCCACTTTTTGCTCTAGGTGTTGCTGTTATTAATCATGGGTCTTTGCCCCAAATTCTCATTTCTGTGCGCCCATACATGCACGCCTTTTTTCTAAATTCTAGACTCTGTTCCGCCTTTATCGGTAAAATATTTCCATGTTTACTGTGATGCTCCAGCTAATTGGCCCTGTATTGTAAACTGGACAGTAGGTCTGTGAATGCGTGCCAATTACAAAAAAAAAATGCTTTTCCTTTTTTTTTAATTTAATCAGTGAAAACCACAAACAAACAGCAAAAATATCAGCAGACGGCATATTGGTATTCTTGCTTGTGTTATGCTTTCCTCATTTTTTTAATACTTCAGAGGTATCATACGTGTAGATGTCCTTTACTAAAAGATAACCCAAATCGCCTAAAAGGGTCAGAATGACTTAGACAACTTTTATTGTCATTTTGTATACACAGAATGTATAGAAAACGAAAAATCAGCCTATAAAGCCATCATTATTGTAGAACTGCCTTTTAGACACAACTTTGATCTTTTTCTCTAATGTTTTCTGTTTTCAGGCTTCGGCCTTATTAAGCTGGACTTGAAGACAAAGTCTGATAATGGACTGGTAAGCTTACTGGCCTGTTTGAGCACTAGAGATGTCTGGTTACATTTTCTGTGTTGCTGAGTGTTTGGATTTAACCCTCAGGAGTTCACCAGCACCTGCTCTGGCAACACTGAGACCAGCAAGGTTGCCGGGTCGTTGGAAACCAAATACAAGTGGGCAGAGCATGGACTCACCTTCACAGAGAAGTGGAACACTGACAACACCCTGGGAACAGAGATCACCGTTGAGGACCAGGTGATTTGGTGTGAGAAATGTAAAATTGTTTAATTGTTCACAGGAAAATGTAATATATACCAGTAAGCATGATTAAAATACTCAATATTCATCCAAAGGTGCATTTAATTGAGTTTTAAGAGCTTCCAAGCAATTAATTTTCTTTCTTTTTTATATATATATTAGAAATATATAATTTAGTCTATTTAAATATTTTAACACGATTTACTTTTTTTCCACAGCTACTTAAAGGGTTGAAGCTTACCTTGGATTCCTCCTTCTCTCCAAATACTGGGTAATGGCAGCTTCTTTAGCCGTTTATTAAAAATTAAACATCCAGCTCTTGATTCTTGCGTATATTGACAATCTTTCCTCACCAAACCTCTGCCAGCAAGAAAGGCGGCAAGATCAAGACAGCCTACAAATGCGACCACATCAACCTGGGCTGCGACGTCAACTACGACATCAACGGTACAGCTGTCCATGGCGCCGCTGTGGTGGGCTTCGAGGGTTGGCTCGCTGGCTACCAGATGACCTTCGAGGCGGGCCGGAACAAGATCACTCAAAGCAACTTTGCTGTGGGATACAAGACTGACGAGTTCCAGCTCCATACGAATGTGTAAGAAAGAAAGCAACCCTCTGCTGATTTAATTGTTTTTTCAGCTTACTTTATTACTTTCTCTTTACATTCATAACAGATGCATTTTATTTTAATTATCTTAGACCCTTTGTTTTTGCTTATTTCGATTCCAAGGGTCAAGTCTTTTTTAAACCAAGATGATTGGATTTATTCTATAAGTCAGCAGAGGTTAAGGTTTCAGACTGTGAGTGTGAGGGTCAGGACTTGTTCCTGCTGTGTCCCTGGAAAAGCCTGTCACTTTCACTTTTTGTCTACGATGTCTGAAGAGGTCAGACACTTGTTACTGTGCATAACAGACATGCACATTTCAGAATAGTATTCCCTGTCAAAATGAAAGATTTTAAGGCCAGAAAGATGCTTTTCTTTATAAGTTGTGAAGTAACTCTGTTTCTTGACAGAAACGATGGCACTGAGTTTGGTGGGTCCATCTACCAGAAGGTGAACGATAAGCTGGAGACGGCCGTCAACTTGGCCTGGACTGCAGGAAACAGCAACACCCGCTTTGGCATTGCTGCTAAATATCAGATTGATGCTGATGCTTCTTTCTCTGTAAGTTCCCCGCTCTTTGAATGGACAGCTGCAAAAATCATTTAACATGAACAGTTGTGTGTTAATGTGTTTTTGTCCAATTCTAAAGTCCCTCTATGGTGAAGAAGCTGCACCGCATCTAAACATGTTGCTAAAAGCACCTGCCTTCTTGTAGATTCCTCTTGGCTTAAAACTTATTCAGACCAAAACAGCAAGAGTGTGCGTACTACACAAAGGTCTTTGCTAATTTAGTCCTGTCGATCACATTAGGTTTAAATCCCACTTCCCACAGAGCCAATTAGTCTGCTTGTCTTTGAACTGGGCCCATATCTATTTGAAGGGACTCCACTAAAGTTTAACTACAGAACTACTGCGACTAAGGCTGCAACCAACGATTATTTTGCATATCCATTAATCTGTCGATTATTTTTACGATCAATCGATTAATAATTAGATAACTGAAGATTTTTTATGAAATCTCTCTCTCTATATATATAGAGATATATATAGATATATATATCTATATATATATCTATATATATAGAGATATATATGTATGAAATGCAATTTACTCACATCTAAGTACATTGCATTTAATTACTGCTCTAAGTGTGTTTCTCTGTCGACTAAAAACATGTTCTATACTCAAGTTACACTTAATTGATTACTAAATTAGAGACCGAAGACAATTCAAATATTAAGGTATCAACAAAGACACCTTTTTTTTAAATTAAGGTGATCTAATTAAATTGTAATCATATTTGTTTCTCTGTTGCTGATTTTGATCTGTTTTTCTGATAGGCAAAGGTCAACAACTCCAGCCTTGTGGGACTGGGCTATACTCAGACTCTAAAGCCAGGTAAGTTCAGTCTTCAGATCATTAAAAGGGAGGCGAGTCATAATTTTCGAAGCTCTGCATATTCGATAGTGTTCAACCTCTTTACTCAAAACCTTAAAGTAATTTTTTTTATGTTCTGAGGCTAAAAAATGTTAAAGGGAAAGCCTTTTAATACCCATTGCTAAAGAAGTTGCAGGAATGGGTATGAAAATGAGCACAAAATATATTAATAAAGCTATCAAAAAGTTAATCTAGTTTCTTTTTTTCTCCCTAGCAACATATTCTTTGGACAGAAAGTCACAGATAGGGTATGGTTATGCAACTAAACAAAACAGGAGTCAAAATGCTACCATGCCGTCTTTCATTTGACTCAGACACAGAATTTACATTATTTAGCAGAGATGCGTGTTATTTTATTGTAATAGTAATAGCCTGTAGGTATCAGCTGATGTTTTGCATTGACAGAGAGTAAGAAAAATAAACACTGACATATAACAGACTTTTTTTACTCAAAAGGGGACTTTTTTGTGTGTTTTTGTAAAACCAATTTTCATTTTTTTTTTTATGTCTGGTTTCTATCTCTTGAAACAGCCTTAAACTCTATTCCTCCTTCTTGTTACATTCCTTTAGTTTTAAATATTACAGAATAGGGTTGTTAAAAATATTTATTATCTGAAAAGTATCAGTTCTCAAATGCTGCATCCAGACTCAATATTTATTTGGCATGGTTTCAACACTAAAGTCAAGTTTTTACATGTTTTTGCTATTTTTACTTTTGGATTTTTTGATGATTTGTACAATAAAAAATAATACATGACACTTTCAAAATATTGTGAAATTGTGTTAAATTTGGGTTATTTTGAATTAATTAGTACAAATGTTTGTTGCATCTCTGATTCTGTGGAGAAAGCATGTTTGACATTGAAAAATGTTTTTTTTTTTTTTTTTTTTGCTTCAATCATTTGTCCTTTTTTTATCCCCATTGTATAGAATATTTTCCTTATTATTTATATTGTGTCTGAAATTTTGGTGCCATAGGAACCCGGTTGCAGAGTATGAAAATAAAACGTAACTTTATAACCTTTATAAATGTCAGCCGCATGTTTCCTGTGTTTCTAAGACTAGTGTAATCGCTCCATTTTTTTACATTTTGCCAAAATGCAGCACAGATCCAGTCGATCCAGTGTTTTCTCTCTGACCATCAGTTGTCACTCTGTGCAGTTCTATAAAACTTATCATTGCCTATATAGTTGTGCAGGTTATGTTTCATAAAGAGCTGTTTCCATTTGCAAGAGAAATACATTTTTAAACTGTTTGTCTGCTTTTAAATGGTGACAATGTCCTTTAGGAACCTTTTCTTTCAAAGGCAGGGATACCTGTCACACATTTTGATAATGATCCCTGCGTAGCAGTAATATTTAAGATCGTAAGTAGCTCATATTAAAAAATGTGACGCCTTTTCACTGTTGATCATCTCCGCAGCAGCATTATTCCATCAATATATTTTACTTCTTCCAATTAAATGATTGCCCTGTGTGCTACATTAAATAATTTAATAACAATGCTTACATATGTGTTGTTACAGGCGTGAAGTTGACACTTTCTGCTCTCCTGGATGGCAAGAACATCAACTCTGGTGGGCACAAGCTTGGTCTTGGTTTGGAGTTCCAGGCGTAGATGGAAAAGACAGCCAGCCTCTCCTCCCCCACACACTTTTTTTCCCACCCACCAGAAAATAATTATATCTTAAACCTCTGTTGATTAGTCCAGACCTTAAATCTCCTTTTTTGTCCTTGAAATGTTACAGAAACTGTGGAATAACTTTAAGATTGCAAACGGACCATTTTAATGTTCAAAAGCCCTATCAAGAACAAAGCTGTAATAGTTTCTTCAGATTGCTTGTGTAGTTTTTAAGCAGAGAAAAAAAATAGGCAGTAAATCTTGAATCCTACGCTTTTCTTTTAGTATAGTCATGCAGAAAGCTTTCGTTACTTTTTAATCCAATGAAAAAGGGAAAATCTACTCTAGATGAGCCCAAAACACATTTCTGGCTTGGCACAGTTAGCATGCAGTTGTGTTGTTACTCCTACAGATGGTGCTGTTACTGTAGCTCTAGAAAGCACTTCTCACTCAGATGGCTTTGTGGTTATAATTTTTTTTCAAACATTTCCACACTGAGAGCTCTTATGTCTGTCTTTGATATATTATATGATGGGAGGGGTTAGTTGTCCCGGATGTAAGCAGCTGTCGTTAGCTCTGAGAGACACTACAACCCAACGTGTACATTCTGTGTTTCTTGTCTCACCCGTCTTTCGTGTCTGTGCATTTGATGTGACTTAAGTTTTTTTTTTTGTTTGTTACATATAGCAGCAGAGAATATAATTTTATTGAGGGTTTTACATAGTTAGATCCACTCAAAGTCTTAAGGAAAAGACGCGTCAACCCTCTCTGATCAAGAACACCGAGATAAACTGTCAAGCACTGATGTTCTGTACTCTTGATAAGTTTGTGCTTCAAGGCGGAGGATGAAACAAGCAGAAACACTCCATGGAATGGTTGTCTTCCACAACTGGTTTTTGGGGATCATGGTTATTGTACTTGACAGTATTGTCATTCCCTGATCTAAATAAAGAATATCTTGAACCAATTTTTTCTGTCTATAATGAAGCCTGTTATTTTTATCCTTTTATAATCACATTAGGACACAAGTGCTTCTATTTCAGACTAGAATTCATCCTGGTTTTACTTTTAGGGAACCATCAACCTTTTGTTTTTCACAAGTTCAATTAATCTTGCATCACTTTTGAGCGATGCTTTTATATATCTTTTTTTTTACATAAAGGTGTACTATACAATTATCAGTCAATAAATAAAAAGCAAATTAACTATAGTCCTTATTAACACCTATGCTTTTCCATCACAGTTCATACACTGACTTACTGGACTATTAATCTGTTTTTCATCAAAAGAAACACAGAAAATTGTGTCTTTGACTGATAGAATTCACTCCTTCAGCAGCTCTTTCCAGGAAAAAATTGTCGTGAAACAGATGAGCTTTGGGCTAGTTTTTAAATCTAGATTAGGAAAGAGGGCTTATTTAGTTAATCTCAGTAAAAATCTCACCTGATATAACTGTCTAGGAAAGGGACAGTCATTGTCTGATAAGCAGGACCAAGTATATAGTCTGTAGAAGTTGAATATCCCATAGCAGTGTAAAAAACAGTCTTGATGCACGCTGCTGGGGTAGAAACTTCCCTGACCAGTTCCAGCAATCTTGGATTTGTAAATCCTTAATTCACACAGGCAAAAACTTCTGGCTCAGTCTGTAAACATGTTTTTAGAACTGGGTGTGTTTTGCTAACAGTTTATGGTAACATTAAATTTTTCTTCACACTGCAAAAATCCCCTCAGTTATTCTCAAACATCTGCTTAAGCCAGTCTTCGAATACTGGCTCATCAAGCACTGTGGACCCAAATGTTAAAATTAATAATTTAAACCAAGATCTGAAAACTCCTTTTCTTGAAAAATCTCTGACTCAAATGTGTTGAGGTAGTGAAATGTGTTATCTTTTTAGATACAGTCCCCTCTATGGATTAGTCCGAGTTATTTGTGCATTAACCAAGCGCAACTTAAATAACGTAATGAGGAACGACTTGACTTTAATAAGGAAGTGGCCACTTCAGGGACAGGAATTGAAACTTTCCTTAGGCTTTAAACGTTATATGCAGAACTTCAGAGGCTTTGTTTTGTCAATGTTACTTTGCATTTCCCCTCTCTGTGATGGATCGAACAGCAAGAACAGTCAAGCACAGGTGTATTTTCAAAAGACAAGGTTCTTTTATTTAACCCCAAAAAGAAAAAAATGTCACAAGTACAAAATGGAACCAAACATGAGGTAAAAGAAACAAAAACTAGTCAAAATAAACAATAACAGAACTAACTCAAACAAACTGACCTGACTTATTGAAACAAAAAGAAACTTAAATAGTGGCTGATCAGTTAAAAAAAAACACATGGGACAAAACTTACACAAACCTAACTGAACAAAATGAAGCAAAACCCCATTTCCCCCATACCGCTGATGTGGTATAGTCCAAATTAGCTCAGCCACCTGCTAGTTACTCAGTCAAGGGACTAGATCAGCTGAAACAGAATGTGCACACTAATTTTGAAATACAGTGCAGTGGTGATAAAAAAAAATCCCAAATAATGAAACCCTATTTAAAAAGGAAACTAAATATCAAATGATATGTTACCACATCTGTGAGGCAGTACATGCAGCCATCACACTCTCAAAGATGGAGTAAATAAAATACAGATTTTGATAATAAGACCCAACTGGATGATTAGTTAACAGTGGGTGAGGCTGGTCCTGCAACACCACACTGAGGCTGCTGTTGATTAAATATAGTTTAATAACCTTACCTTGCAGCACAGTAGATTGTGGAATGATAAAACTTAACAATTGCAGGATTATATTATCATATAGCCTCCATGCTAAAACTTTGTAATAATACAGAAAATAGTGAATATTTCACTTGCATCCAAGAGGTTTTGTACTAATAAATCCAATTTATATATAAATTGAAAAATACATTTGAATCTAGGAATCGTATTGGTCTTAAGTTGAGTAAGCAGAATAAAAAAAGTGCATTAAAATGCTGATACCTATGTTTCTTAAACAAAAATATTAAATGTACATAATTGCATTTTTCTTTTTAACTTAATGGGTTTCCTTAAATGCTTTCTGTTACATTTACTTATCAAGTTTTACAGTGAACTGAATTTTTCCCACATTGAGGAACAAAATGACTTTCAACAAAATTAGGTGGTTCCACACACCACACTGCTCACAGGAGATCAGCCAGCAGAACCATTTGAGAGTAGTTATTATTTTGATACAGATTTTATATTCAAATGAACTTGCGGGAAAAAATGAACATCAATGAAAAAAGTCGGAATATATAAGGGGTAACGAGAAGTCAAATTCTGTTTCTTACCTTTTATTACCTTTCTATTAATTCAATAGTATTAATTCAATTTCCTTCAACATACTACTTTTTTCTACTCTTTATAAATCCTGTACAATATAAATTACTTGGAACAAATAAATATTACTCTACATATGAGACAAATTGTAGGTATTTTATGACCTGTCAAACAGGAAGTGGAACAATAATTATTTACATAACAAACACGTCTTGCACTAAAACTGACGTAACCTGTCAGAGCCTGGGCGTGACTCTAAACAGGACGTTTGTGATAACTCTGGTTCACTCATGCAGCGTTTAGTTTGTTGCCACGACATCAGTTTGTAAAAACTGGATGAAAGACTTTGACTGTCAAGTTCTTTCTTTTGTTCTTTTATTTTTTTATGATGCCAATAAAATGTGTCTAAGTCTAAGTTATTCATTCACCAGTTAACTAAATGCAGGGTAGTGTCCCTGTCATGCTGTAGGGATAATGAAGTTTTAAAAAAGGTTGGACGGAGAACGGGAGTCCGACATCTTAGAGCTATTTTAAGTTTCCCAGGTGCAAAATTTCATTGCAACAAATTTCTAATGTGGCGTACTTTTATTGCTGTTATTGTATGCATGTTTTAAAAAGTTTTCCCAATATCAAACGTCTTTTAAATGAACACTTGATAACTCTTTGATAACTATTAAACATTTTGCTAGTTTAAAAAAGAAATCTAAAACAGGAACCAAACAAGAAAATGCTCATATGTTCCATAACAGTTTGCTGGTTTGCAGTCTGGGTAGAACTGAAGAGGTAGTGGTGAGGGAGGAGTTTTTTTCCTCTTAAATGGAGCATAAATGTAGCTTTTCATCCCCCTTTGAAGGTGCAAATCACTTTACACATTTATGGACTGATTTCAAGCTGTAATATGGACCAGGTTTAAATGATATCCCTTCCTTGTTGAGGTTCATATTCTGGAAACATATCACACCCAGAGACGTAGGAATGCACATTGACTTGCAGTTAAACTGGTTCTTTAAGTAACACGTTTCTGTCATTAAAAATAAACTGAGCGGAAACAAAGAACTATTAGCTTTTAAAAGGACACAGTGTCACATATTGTCATGGAACAGTCCTGTTCTTCCCTTACTTTGACTCCATAGTTCAAAGCCTTGATGTGGCTGAATGGCATCGAAATAGTACATTATGGCAGGGGCAGAGCTAGATGGGGGTCCAGGGGTGGCCATGGCCACACTTAGCTAATTATTGGCCACCCCTGTGGCAACCCTACCATTTTCTTCCCCTCTAACACAGACGGTGGCAGCATTAACACTCTCAAGTGGAATATTCCAAACATTTTAAGTTTTCATATGTTAACAATTACTTGACAACAAAAACAATGTGGTCAATTATGCACATCATTATACTAACATTAAATATTATAATTCATGCTCTTTTCAGAACTAGATTATATGTTATATGGAGTAAAGAAAAAATGATGTGCCTCTGAAAGTCATCTAGGAGTCTTCAGTGAAAATCATGATAAATGATAAATTAATATTTTAATAAAAACTTAATAATCAATTTATGTATATATTAGTACTTGTAAATATCAATTTCATGAAGAATAATTGTTGATAAAAGTAGGTAAGTGATGAAGAAAGGAAGATATGTTCGCCCCAGAACTCAAAACTGAAAGAATTATATCTACTATACCTTTTATCTAGAAAGCACAGATGTTTAAATATATTTGTTAGCAAAGGTTGTAGGAAAGTATAGTTTGTCTTTATTTAGAAAATATGGCTGTTGTGCTTGTTAATTTTCCTGTTGCAATAGTGTATATTGAGCCTGAGGTTCTGGCGCCTATCTGCTTTTGGCCACCCCTCAGTGTACAATGGTTATTCCATGGCCACCCTTATAAAGATTTTCTGGCTACGCCTCTGCATTATGGTTAGATGTTGCATCAGGATTTGACAATAAGCGTTTATTGACAGGACAGAAAGACTGTTAAATCAGCCTGATTTTTTAAATAACTGAAAACCTCAATGAGTGTTTTTAATTACCACCACAAACCCCGCCCACTCCCGGTACCGCTCTGCTCAGCGGCTATAGAATGATGCACACCCAGATGCTTGTGTAGATGTGGCCGACAAAGCCCGCCCCCTTCATTCACTCACCAACATGGCGACACACGGACATCAGAGGCAACGCAGAGGAAATATTTACACCCTTTGTTTGGTTATTTTTCTCCAGTTATCCTTCAAAGCCTGCCTTTCAGCTCCAACTCCAACTAAGTCAGTACCGGAAGGTATGGAAGTCTGGTTTTGTTACCTGCGGTAAAGATAGTTTTAGCACCGAGAGGCTAGCTGCTGTGGCTAACTAGCATGCCCTGTTAGCAACTGCTATGTTATTTTGGACAGGTTTATGATGGAATAGCTTGTTTTTTTGTAAAGGTAACATGTAAAAGAGAGGGGGTTTCTAACATTATACTTCTAATATGTTAAACAAAAATAATGAAGTTGAAGCTCTACTCTTCTGCATTAAATGTGTTTTTTTCATATATAAATAGCACACAATCTAGCATTGTTCTTCTTTTATCTATGAGTTGACCATTAAGCTTAATTACCTTGCAAATCTGATTTATAACGCTTGAGTCTGATAACATGTTAGAAGTTTTGCAAAGGTTT